CCCGGTGAGTTTAGGGAGGCTGATACACCGCGTGAGAGACTCAGCTGAGAGCAGATCCCTTTCTTTGGGAAAACAAGCCCATGAAGCTGTGCTCAAGAGTGATGAGCACAAAAGCAACATCTACTTGTTGACGGGATTGATCGATATGTACTGCAAGTGTGGCGAGCTTGAGAAGGCTCGCAAGATTTTCGACTCCATGGGAACCCGGAGTGTTGTGTCCTACAACGCGATCATCCAGGGCTGCGGCTCGAACGGGCAAGCTGAACTTGCTCTGGAGTACTACTCTGCCCTGAGAGCTTGTACCACCATTCAACCCAACGATTGGACACATGTCGCGGTGATCAGCGCCTGCTCCAGACTTGCTACCGAATCCAGCGAGAAGAGGGAGAGAGCTCTACGCATCGGGATGGAGATCCATTCAATGCTGAGCAAGGAGAAGAAACAGCTAGATCTGTTCGTGGCGACTTGCCTGGTAGACATGTACTGCAAGTGTGGCGAGCTTGAGGAGGCTCGCAAGATTTTCCACTCCATGGGAACTCGGAGTGTTGTGTCCTACACCGCGATCATCCAGGGGTGCAACACGAACGGGCAAGCTGAACTTGCTCTGGAGTACTACTCTGCCCTGAGAGCTGATAACACTATTCAACCCGATGATCGGACACATGTCGCGGTGATCAGCGCCTGCTCCACACTTGCTACCGAATCCAGCGAGAAGAGGGAGAGAGCTCTACGCATCGGGATGGAAGTCCATTCAGTACTGAGCAAGGAGAAGAAACGTCTAGGTCTGTACATGGCGACTTGCCTGGTAGACATGTACTGCAACTGTGGCGAGCTTGAGGAGGCTCGCAAGATTTTCCACTCCATGGGAACTCGGAGTGTTGTGTCCTACACCGCGATCATCCAGGGGTGCAACACGAACGGGCGAGCTGAACTTGCTCTGGAGTACTACTCTGCCCTGAGAGCTTGTACCACCATTCAACCCAACGATCGGACTCATGTCGCGGTGATCAGCGCCTGCTCCAGACTTGCTACCGAATCCAGGGACAAGAGGGAGAGAGCTCTACGCATCGGGATGGAACTCCATTCAGTACTGAGCAAGGAGAAGAAACACCTAGGTGTGTACATGGCGACTTGCCTGGTAGACATGTACTGCAAGTGTGGCGAGCTTGAGGAGGCTCGCAAGATTTTCCACTCCATGGGAACTCGGAGTGTTGTGTCCTACACCGCGATCATCCAGGGCTGCAACACGAACGGGCGAGCTGAACTTGCTCTGGAGTACTACTCTGCCCTGAGAGCTGATAACACCATTCAAGCTGATGCTTGCACCTACACCTGCGTCCTTGTTGCTTGCGGGAGTGTGATGGCGATCAAGCTCGGGAGGGAGATTCACCAGCTGGCGAAGCATAAAGGGCTGCTGAAAAACAATCCAGTTCTGGGCTCCAGCCTGGTGAGCTTCTACGGCAAATGCGGCGATGTTGATTCTGCTCAGGAAGCGTTTGACGAGTGTCGAGCTCGGGACGACACGGGTCTTTGGAACTCGCTCATACAGGCTTACACTCTTCAGGGCCGATCGATCGAGGCCTTGGAGCGTTTCTATTCCATGACTCAGGAGGAGGGCTGTAAAGCTGACGATGTGAGTTTTGTCTCGGTGTTGAACGCTTGCAGCCATGGTGGTCTGGTGGGGAAAGGAAGGCAGCTTCTGGATGAAATGCCCAAGCAGTATGGAGTCAAGCCACGTCTGGAGCATTATGTGTGCCTGATCGATATGCTCGGGCGAGCTAACCTCCTTGACGAAGCTGTGAGAGTTCTCAGAGCCATGCCTTTTGAACCGGATGCAGTGGTTTGGACGTCCCTGCTCGGAGCCTGCCGGAAGTGGAAGAATTACACGGTCGGCAAACTCGCGTTTGAGCGTCTTGTGGAGATGGATCCCAAGAGCGGCACGCCCTATGCATTGATGGCCAATATATTTGGAAACCTGGGGATGCTCAGTGAAAGGGCTGCTGTTGTGGAGAGAATGAGAGGTGAAGGCAGCTTCAGGGAGCCCGGGAGAAGCTGGTGGACGGATGTTAGCTCAGGAAAAGTGCATTCTTTTTCTGTCGGGGATAGGAGTCACTCACAGAGCGACGAGATTGCGGCGAAGCTCAAGCAATTGTTGCTGAGAATGAAAGAGGAGGGGTACGCGAGTGATGTGATCAGCGTTCTAAAAGACATACCCGAGGAAGAGAAAGAGGATCACCTGTGCGGCCACAGTGAGAAGCTTGCGCTGGGGTGTGCTCTGGTGAACTCGCAGCAGAAGGAGACCATCAGAATTGTGAAAAATCTCCGAGTTTGTGACGATTGCCATGCGGCCACTGCTCTCATCTCTAAGCTGGAAAAAAGGCTAGTCATCTGCAAAGATGCCAGTCGGGTTCATGTGTTCCAGGATGGCAGATGTTCCTGTGACAACTACTTTTGAAAACATGTCAGTGCTCTTTCCCTGGTTTTAAACCCTCCGTGAGTCAAGCAGAAACATGGGCCGCTGAGTGAGCATGCCTCGTCAAAGTACCGCCGTCAACCTGAACTTCACGGAGAAAAAATTAACATTTAAAAGTTAAAACTATGCAAAAGGAGTCTTAAATGTAAATTTCTTTTTGGTAGCAGAATCGGGGAATGCTGACTAAACCTGCCAACAGGTGCCCCAAAACGGAGTGCCCAGATTCAGATAATAAGCCTTAGTATGAAGACTTGCCAGTACCCAACTTTGGGTTTGTGCTCCTAGAGCACGTTGAAGACGTGTGGAAGCTGGTGACGACAGCATTTGTTTCTTGCGACGTACTCACCAGTTCCTTGGCGACGTCTTCCTTCCAGATTTTTTGAGCTTGTCGTGAGTGGTGACCTGCTTGCTCTCTCCTGTGACGACTTCTTCCAGCCTCTGGTGCCCAACCTCAAGGCTCTCTTGTGGATGGAGCTAGCCCTACACGTGTGTGTGTGTGTGTATCAACCAGCAGATGCACAAATCACAAGTGTGTATCATAGGCTCAGTGCGTAGTGTACTAGTGTTCATGTACATGTGTTTCAGCTAAATATAATGGGCCAAATACACCGAAGAAGTGTGTATAAGAAGAGTAGAAACAAATTAAGAAATGTAAATTAAGAAGTGCAAAAGAAATGAAAATAAAAATTGTCCATCCTCATCAGTTTGCTGAAATTAAGTTGGATTCAATTCTTCCAGCTCCAAATATTGTGTGATTGAGTTGTAACTTAATTAATAGTAGAAAATAAGAAAAAAAAAACAAACATTGAAAAAATAGTGTTTGATAATATCTTCTTTGCTTTTAGTTTTTTATTTTGAAAGAAAATTAGTGGGGGAGTGCTGGTAAAGATATCTTTGCCGTTCATTGGTGGTTAATTAAATGAGCATGTTTAGAGATGTTTATAAGAGTTTAGCTCTGGACCAAGAGTTACCCGAAAATTAAAGTTTAAATTTACGTTTTCCCTATTTGCACAATCTAAAGTAATGTACTTACCCTTATTTTTTATGGGAAAATTATTAGTATTTCAAAAAAAAAGAGGCGAATTTAGAGGATTCTTAAGTAATTTTCAAAACCCCCGACCAAATCTAAAGTGTTGGGGTCATTTTATTTTAAGGGAAGTTGTTAAAAATTATTCCGGAAATATTCGAGAAGATTCTTAGGTAAGGCTTTGGCGTGCCTGTAAAGAAGATCTGATCTCGCGGCACGGCCCGAGAATTAAAACATGGCAGCAGCCGCGGAGATTTATGAGGAGAGGCCTGAGGAGGTGGAGGAAGCAGGTAATCCGATTTTAGGGTTGGAAGAGGAAACAGAGCTCTGGGAAATGGGGCCGATCGAGCTGGATCTGGGCCTGCTCGTGCTCTATCTTCACCAACAGGAGGAGGAAGAGGTGCCCATGGAGGGAGAGGTGGCCATGGAGTGGGAGGAGGGCGCGGGGTGGCCGGGGTTGGCCGCGGATCTCTGAATCTGGCCCCGGGAGGATTAGGCCATGGTTCTGAGGCGGCTCGAGGAGGGGGTGCCCCGGGAGGAGGAGGCCATGGTTCTACTCTAGGAGGAGGACGCCGCGGTTCTTCTCCGGGAGGAGGCCATGGATCATCGCCAGGAGGAAGCCACGTCTCGAGGAGTTCCCCTGGAGCACAGCGTGCCAGGAGCTCCAACTGCTTTGAGAACCAGAGATGGCGGTGAGTTTTACATTTCTTAGGTTGCATGCATGCATGAGTGATTGAGAGCTCCCGGCAGGGTCATGAAGAAGAGGGAGATGACAGCGTCCCCGATCTGGAACAAGACCCGGATGCTCACGTGGAGGAGCTCGACCACGAGGCTGTCCAGTTTGTGGATACCTCGGGTTTTGCTGCACCTGCTGCTGCGAAGAGAACCCGGGGAAAGAACTCGAACCATGCTGAGACCATGGTCCTGATTGATCTCGTTCGGGAAAAACATCTCGCGAAGATTGCGGGGGAGGGAGGAGCAGCCAGCATGTTCTCATGACGACAGCGCTGGAATCTCATCTTTCACCCTTTTGCTTTAGGGTTTAAATGCACATTGCGGATGCTGCCTCAGGAAGAAGACCGTGAACTTGAGGTTCGTCGGGCCGTGATTGGGAGGAGGTTTTGCATCGGCCTGTGGTGGGTGAAGCCTCGAAATGTCACCACCTGGAGTAAGTTTTCTTTGGAGTATTACGATGTGGGGAGGTGGAAGAGGAAACTTCAGATGGAGAAGAGGACCTTCTTCACCATTTGTGGCATGCTGGAGAGTGAGATCTGGAAGCAAGATACCGGTTGGTGGAGTGTGGTGCCAGTGGATGTTCGACTGGGGGTGACTTTGTACAAGCTTTTCAAGAACACAGATTACTTGGATCTGGTGGACAAGTTCGGCATCGGGGAGTCCACATCTCACGAACATTTTCTTATGTTTTTTGGATTGTTATAAGTTTTGATGAGCAATAGGAACCCGACTGCCTAATGTTGCTGGGGCGATCGACTACTAGACTGGACGGCGAGAGCTACTATGACCGGAAGCAGTGGTACTCGGTCATCTTGCAAGGGGTTTGTGATGCCCAGAAGAGGTTCCTCAGTGTCTACGCTGGGTGGCCAGGATGGTTCTAAAATGTTCATTTTGCTTTCAGGATGCATCCATGACATGAGGGTTTTTCGTAATTCAACCCTCAGAAACACGATTGTAGCAAGGGAGCTGCTGACGTTGCCCGCAGTGTTAGCATATGATGATAGGATCAAGCCATACCTAGTGGGGGACAAAGGGTACCAACTCCAGCAGCATCTGATGATTCCACACACAAGTAAGTCTTCTTCATTCTACTTTCTTTTGTTCACTTGTTTTGGTTGTTGCTCAGCTCTGAACCCGACACCATCCAAGGCAGCTTTCAACCTTCATCACCACCTTGCTTGGATTGTTATTGAGCAAGCATTTGGACTTCTTAAAATGAAGTTCAGATGCTTGGATCAAAAACAAAGGATCCAGCCAAAGTACCTTCCCAACATCATCAAGAGTTGTTGCATCTTGCACAATTTCTTGATTGATGTTGGGGAGACTGATCTTCGGGTGGAGATCCAAGCTTGGAGGAAAGAGGTGAAAAGGCTCAAGGACCAGGACCTCTTTGTCGATTACGGTGATCCCGAGCAAGCGGAAGGGGAGCCTCGTGAGGAGTTGCACAGTCCAGAGGATGCAAAAGAGGTTAGAGAGAACCTCACGTTTTCCCTCTGTCTTTGCCAGTGGCGTTCGTGTTTGCTTTGAAATTTGCCGGGATATAATTCTAAACATTTGAATTTGAATTTGAAATTTCAAAATTTGAATTAAGTGAATTTTAAGTGTTTGAATGCATTGTTTTTAAGTGCGAATCCGAGGGTGTTTTTCCACTTATACCTCATCTCAATGTCTCCAGAGACGCTGGAACCGGTTGAGGTTGAAGCGCTGTTACGTTCGACGAATTAGTGTTCCCTATGAACACTCCGGCATGTTGACCAGCATAAAGAAGAGTTAGAGTCCGGAGGGGAAACCCTGGTTGAAACTGACTTTGAGCCATCTCCGCTATAGTGTCGGTGTAGAACTATTAAAAACCACAAGACCAATCACTAACGGTCTATACATCAAAGCTACAAGACAAGGTACCTTCTCTCCCAGCTGCCGGGCCATAAGAAGAGCACATACCCAAAGTTGCCCGTCTTGAGCAGCCCGTAAAGCCTCTTTCTGCTTTCCGGCAATTAGTAGCCCTTTCACCTCAAATGCAGTTGCCCTTTTTAGGGTTCTTGAGTATTCACTAGCTCGCTCCCGACGCAGTGGCTTGTCGCTCAAGAGAAAAAGACTGCCCAACCTGCATTTGCTGTTCAGTTGGAGTTGTCTGTAAACAACGAGAGCCAAAAGCCCATGACTCTACATCGCGCTCCTCCTACAAAGCCTCGGCTTCTTCCAAATGCCCTTTCCTGGCAAATGCTGTGACGAGGGCAGTCTGCGCAACGATCGTCTTCACGGGCATCCGATCAAACAAATCCTTCACAGAAGCTATCTTTCCACTGCGGATGAAAAGCATGATCATCACATTCCAAGAGATCTCGCTCTTCTCTGGAGCCAATTCGAAAATCTCTCGCGCTTTATCAAGATGCCCGTTGTCGGCTTATGCCGTGACAATCGAGTTCCACGTCGAGGCATCTCGCCGGAGCATCCCATTGAACGTTCTGCGCGCTCGATTTAGATATTTCGCCTGTGCGTAGGCCTGGATCATGATGTTGGAGGAGAAGAGCTTAGGATTCTCTATGGATTCGAAGATTGCACGGGCATCATCGACGCTGCCGCATTTGCAGATTCGCGAGGTATTTGTTGCGGCGGTGCTCGCTCTGCGCAATGCGGGCGTGGATTTGCCTCCCCTGTGACAGATCCCGGCAGTTCTTGAGCAGTGCTCCCCAGGAGAGCAAGCAATCCTCTGAGGTGTCTGTGGAAATCACGAAATTGGGGAAGAGCAATGCCATAAACTTTGCTGGATCTCACACGCATTCGCGATTCGCGAGGTATTCCTTGCGAGAATCCGAGAATCCTGGACGGAGAAAGAACATTCCAATCTAGCTTGGAGATCACGGCTAAGAAGAAGAAGATAATCCATCTTGCCTTGCAAGAACAAGGACACCCTGGAAGAAGCAAAGATTTTACTCTCTGGTGACAATTCCTCTACTCCACTGGGCTTATAAGATTGGCTCTCTCCTCCATTCTCTATAGCAATGAATTTCCATCTCTCTTTCTTACTCCTCGAGATACTAGTGTTCTTGAGAGCTGTCGCCCTAAATTCGCCCCCACCGCTCCCTCTCCGCCCAATTCCCTCATGGCACCAGCTCCAGTTCCACCCGCGCCGCCTCTCGATGTTCTTCTACTTCGGCGTCAACACATTCACGGACTCGGAGCGTGGATACGGCCACGAATCGCCCTCCATCTGCAACCCGGAGCGATTGAATGCGTCGCAGTGGATGGACGCGGCCAAATTCCGCGGGCGCGCAGCTCGTGATCCTCACGGTCAAGCTCCACGACGGGTTCTGCCTGTGGCCCTCGGCCTACACCAATTTCTCCGTGGCTAGCAGCTCTTGGCGAGGAGGGAAGGGGGATGTGGTGGCCGAGTTCGTGTCCGCCGCCAGGGAGCGTGGATTGCACGTGGGCTTTTACCTCTCGCCATGGGATTTGCACGAGAGCTGCTATGGCGACACTCTTCTCTACAACGAGTTCTACCGAGAGCTTCTTACTGGGTGAGTGAGACATTATTTGCTTCTTCTTCACGCATTTTTCTTGGTGGCATGATCACTGTGTGATATGTTTGCATTTCCTCCAGCCCATCAAACGGTTTTAGCATTAGGAGCTCGCGAGCTTGTGGGCTTTTGTAGTTTTCATCTCTAGCAGCAGATGCCTTGACGCGGCATTTTGTTTTGCGTGCAGATATGGGCCGATCTCCGAGGTGTGGCTGGATGGTGCGAAATCACCCACTGCAGTGAACATGAGCTACGATTTTGAGCTCTGGTTTGACACGATTCATCCCCGGTGCAAACATCTTTTCCGACGCTGGCCCCGACATCCAATGGGTTGGGAACGAGTATGGCGAGGCCGGACAACCATGCTGGGCGATGGCGAACAGATCTTCCATTACGATCGGCAGGAGCAATGGCCAGTACGTAAAATCCATCCTTCCATGAGACTTTCGTTCTCGTGAAACTCGATCCAATTTGCAACATCAACAGGTACTTCATGTCTTGAGAGAGTGCTGGAACCGACTGGCTCCCTCTGGAGTGCGATATCTCCATCAGGCCTGGTTGGTTTTGGCACATGAACGAGGCTCCAAAATCCCTGGAGCAGCTGCTCGACGTTTTCTACAAATCATCCGCCAGGAACTGCTTGCTCCTGCTCAATGTCCCTCCAAACTCGTCGGGACTGATCGACGAATCCGACTTCCAGACACTGGAGCAGTTTAGCTCCGCCATAGATTCCATCTTCAGCGTCAACTTAGCAGCGAATCCCTTGTCCGTGACAGCAAGCAGCGTTTGCAGCTCTTCGTTCGGGCCGAAGCAAATCCTCGAGGAGCGTATGGAAACTTTCTGGGCTCCAAGGCAAGGGGAGTCGACCGGCTGGATCGAGCTTGATCTTGGCAAGGTCTCAAAGTTCAACGCACTGGAGATCCGAGAGCCAGTAAACATGGGACAAAGGGTCATGGAATATCTCATCGAGGCATGGGACAGCAAGCTGGGCTGGAGCAACAGTAGCACCATTGGTTACAGGAAAGTGGATCGACTGGAATGTGCTGCTCGCCTCATTCGACTGCTGATTGATGCCTGTCAGGGAGATCCATTGATCTGCTTCTTTGGTTTGTACTTTGATATGTACAACCTTAGGCATTTGTATTCTATTTAGAAGAGAAACTACAAGAGGATATGTATATTTCATGGATACACTTTTCAGGTATAAGAAACATAGCTTGCATAGGATGAAGTGCATAGATATATTACACCAATAGCTCTAAGGAATAAGTAAAGGTTGCAAAAGTTCTTCTGGCTTCACCCGTGGCACCTTTACCCGCTGACAGAGTTCACATAACTTACACTCAAGGATATTAGCCTTTATATTCCTCAAATAAAAATTGTGCTTAATCAACTCATATGTCTTCTTCCCCCCAAAATGACTGGCCTCTGGACAATCATGATAGTGGAATAAAACTTGAATAATTAATGCATCCACATGTGGTAAATACACATGGCCATTGTAGTAAAAAATCCCATCCACCAATGAGAAAGATGCTTCTATCTGAGCTTGCAACAAGACCACCTCAACATCCTAAACTTGAGCACACTCAACCAACTACCCAAACTCGCTAACCACCTTACTCAAATGATAACAAAACCATGTTTGTAACGCCATTACATGGCAAATACGAAATAGAGCATCTGCCACCATATTTGATTTTCTCAGATGATGCTTAATAGAAAACTCCCCAAACTCCATGAGTTTGACCATCTAACAAACTTGCCTAGTGTTCAACTCCTATATGAAAATATATACAAGGGGTTTGTGATCTGTCAACACTATGATAAAGATAATGCCACCACGTCCACAAAGCATGAACGTGATGCGAGTGGTTATACATTGGGAGGAGTTCTTATGCAAGAGGGACAGCCTATTGCATATGAGAGTTGAACTTTGAATCCCACAGAGCATCACTATTCCATATATGAGTAAGAGTTACTCTCCATTATGTCACCTAATAAAGTTTG